TGACTTTTGATCTCAGGGTTGTGAGTTCAAGCTCCACACTGGGTGTAGAGATTAGTTAAAAAATATACATGTATTTCTCAGATATCTATTATTTATTTCTATTTTAATTCCATTTTTGTAAGACTTAAATTTCATTTGAAATTCCACAATGGAATTCCATTAATTGTATTTGGCCAGATTAAATTTTCAATCATTTGTAGGACCCCACACATTTGTGGGCCTGAGGTCAGGGACATTAAGGTAAGCACTGTCAGCAAGGTGAGTTGTATCAGAGGGAGGGAGAGAGAGAATCCCAAGCAGGCTCCAGGCTCTAAGCTGTCAGCACAGAGCCCAATGCAGTGCCCAAACCCATGAACCATGAGATCATGATCTGAGCCTAAGTCGGATACTTAACCAACAGAGGCACTCAGATGCCCCCTACATTTTTAAATGGTTAAGGAAAAAAATATCAATAGAAAAATAATTTTGTGAAATGTGAAAATTATATGAAATTTAAATTTCAGTGCCCATAGTAAAGTTTTATTGGAACATAGCCATGTTCATTTATTTATGTATTATCTATGGCTCCTTTCACAGTAGAACTGAGTTGTTTCAACAGAGTCCATAAGACCCACAGAGGCTAAAATATTTACTTTCCAGCCCTTTGCAGAAAGTTTACCAACACTTACTACACATCCACATTACCATCTGGTGCCATTTCTCTTTATTTTACTTTTTTAAGTTGGTTGATTTGTTTTTGAGAGAGAGAGAACAAGCACATGTACACTCAAGTGGAACAGGGGCAGACCAGGAGGCAGAGAGAGAATCCCAAGCAGACTCTGCACTGTCAGTGCATAGCCCGACACAGGTCTCAGACTCATGAACCATGAGATCATGACTTGAGTGGAAATCAACAGACACTTAACCAACTGAGCCACCCAAGCACCCTGGTGCCATTTCCCTTTAGCTTACAGAACTTCCATTATTATTTCTCATAGAATACACATTATGGTGGCAAATTCTCTCAGATACTTTTTATCTGAAAACATATTTATTTAAGGTTCATTTATTAAGAATATTTTTGCTGATAGCTTAACATTATGGATAATACATTGTGCCAACACTAAATTCTGTTATGTTCTTCTGAAGACTGTTGGTTTTTCTTTCAACAGATAGTTAACTTGTCTGGACCCAAACTAAAAATATAGAAATTTTGCCTGAAAGTTGGGATTTGTTTGGGAGGTAGGAGACAGCTGTGTTCTGGTTCATTTTGGGCCAGGGCGAGATTTTAATTATGATTTTTCAACATCTTTCCATCTCCATTGCTTTAATAAGTCAGGTGTTAATATCATTATTCCCCTGTATTTGATAGGCCATATTTTCTCTTCACTGCTCTCAAGATTTTCTCTTTGTCTTTGACATTTAGCAGTTTGTCTACAATGTGCCTAATTATGGTTTTCTTTTGTATTTATTCTACTTGGAGATCATTAATCTTCTTGGATCTCTAAGCCAGGTTTCTAACAAATATAAAAAGTTTTCAGCCATTATTTCTTCAAATATTCCTCTGCTTCTTTCTTTCCCCCCCTCTACTTATGGGATTCCAACTAAGGCAGGAAGAATTCAGCTTTTCTCCCACAGGAGCTACACACAGATACAAAACGTGTGTGTCAAAAAAGCAGCAAACTTGAAAATCTCACCTACTACAGTTGTGTGTTTCGAAGTTTGTCTCCTATTTGGTTTGCACTGCTTTGCTGACAGGTTTCCCTGTGTACTCATAGCTGTCAGCCAGGTACGGCTGGCAGAATTCATACTCTAACTTTGGGTTTTAGCCCTCTGGCAGCTTTCTCAGTTTCAGATTTTCCTCCTAAATTCCAAGTTGTTTTGCCAGTCCTCACCTTTGTTCTCTGATACCTCAAGTCAGTATGGTTGTGGTTTTCCGTCTCTGGGGCTATGAGAGTGGGGAAGCACCTTGTACAAAAACCCACAGATTCACAATTCTTATCCACTACTTTACTTACTTCAAACAATAAACTCTCCTCTGGTTTCTGCTTCTTTATGGTATTTTAGTGGGGGTTTTTTGGTCTTTTTCCAATGCTTTCAAATCATTTTGTTATTTTAAAAATTTTTCCAGGTAATGCAAATTGGTGCAGCCACTCTGGAAAACAGTGTGGAGGTTCCTCAAAAAATTAGAAATAGACCTACCCTATGACCCAGCAATAGCACTGCTAGGAATTTACCCAAGGGATACAGGAGTACTGATGCATAGGGGCACTTGTACCCCAATGTTTATAGCAGCACTCTCAACAATAGCCAAATAATGGGAAGAGCCTAACTGTCCATCAACTGATGAATGGATAAAGAAATTGTGGTTTACATACACAATGGAGTACTACGTGGCAATGAGAAAGAATGAAATATGGC